AAAAAAAAAAAAAAAAAAAACCACCTTTCTTCTATTGGCCTGGAATGGTGGCTCACGCCTATAATCCTAGCACTCTGGGAGGCCTAGGCGGGTAGATTGAGCTCAAGAGTTCGAGACCAGCCTGATCAAGAGCAAGAGCTCATCTCTACTAAAACTAAAATAGGAAAACCAGCCAGGCATCATGGCAAGCATTCTACTACTTGGGGGGCTGAGGCAGGCAGATCACTTGAGCCCAGGAGTTTGAGGTCACTGTGAGCTATGACACCATGGCAGCTACCCAGGATGACAGAATGAGACTCTGTCCTCCCCCCCCAAAAAAATCCTCCTATTCAGGGAGGTGTGAGGAGAACAGTGTAAAAGTAGTTAAATATTAGTTGTTTATTTTTTGAGACTTTGGGAAAAAAATAAGAAGACGAAATTAATGGATGACACCATACTGAACCTCAGAGTCAAAGCACTCTATAATAGACATAGTCTTATTTGACAATGTGAATGTTACTTTCTTTGCATTACTATTATTATTGCTTAATATTTCAATGCAGCAATCGTCTGATTTCTTTTCTGAATGTATTTATCTTCATTCTTTACGAGGTTTTTGTTTCTAGTCCTTATCTTAAACACTGTTATTGTTGTTAAATTTTAAGCCCATTTAATTTTGTGAAGGCAAACAGTGGAAACCTAATAAAATATATCTATGTTATAAAAGGGGGGGGGAAGAATTTCAAGTAAAGTATAATGAAACAAACAAAAAAAGTAGTTATGTGGGTAACAGTAAGGAATGCAAATCAAAACCCTTCCAGACTGCTCTAAATATCTCTGGATGTGTTTATTTGCACGGGTTTCAAGTGTAGATGAAGACCTATTTCATTCAGGGTTAACAAGAATGTGCCGTTAGGTTTCACGTGCCCTCAACCTAACTTGCTGTTCTTATGAAGTTCAAGGGTTTCCCTAATCAGTCAAATACTCCTTTACCCACCTATAGTTTGATTTGAGGGAAACACCTTCCTCTAGGGGGGGGTCAGATCGGTGCGGTAGGAAGAAGAGGCGGACCAAAGATAACCCAAACAGCCACCTCCTTACTCCCTGATCGTCGTTAGACAAGTCGTGGGACTTTTTTGAGCCCCAGTTGCCTTCTCTATAAGACAGAGGAGAGTTTCTGCCGTACAGGTTTTCCCCAGGAGTGATATGAAAGAACCTATGTCGAGTGCCTCACGAAGGACAGGTGTTCTCTGTTAGCTCCCGTCCTTCCTCTTCTCACTCCTCCCCTGCTGACGTCAGTTGACGGCCTCATGCTTTTTCTGCTAAAAAACATGAGCTAGGTCTGTCAGACGTGTATTTACCATCCAAAGTCTTCCTACTGCTACTGCAAAAGCATTGAAAAAGTGGAAGCTGTAAATAAAAATCAAAAACGATGGAAAGAAAACATGGACCCCATCCATTTCACTGCCTCTGTGTGGTGTTTGCATTGAACGTGGGCACTGATATTCTGATGCGTTTCAGGATGAGTTCCAGACTTGTCCTCAGTACTGCAGCATTTCTTTCAATAAAATTGGTTTTGAAGGCAATATATAATTTGCCTTCCTAAGAGTATTTTTCTGTACGCAAACTAAAAATGAGACCTGTGGACTCTCTGCCCCCATGAGTGTGTGAATTATGTTTCTGTGACACCAGAATATTGAGGTGAAATGTACAGGGGAAAATAGTCAACTCTTTAGTTTTACGATGAACATAAAACTAATACACTTGGAAGACGTGGGAAGAATTCCTTCAACCTTTATCTTTTCGTTCAGATGCTTGATTTCGTGTAGACATGCACTGGCTTAGGATCCTCATATCAGCTCTAAAGCATTTTCATATTACACAGATCCACCATTTTAATCCTCTCTAGGTGAACACCGTTTGTCGAACTTCAAAAATAGTAACCAAGGCCATCAGCCTTGACCTGGGACTTTGAGCAATTGTCAAATGCAACAAGCTTTGCTTGCTCTAAAAAAAAGCTTCTGTGAGGATGGATTTTGTATCTTTATGTAGGGCAGTTCAATATTCAATCCAGTCTTGAAATCTTAAAGTTCTTTTGATGTGAACTTTTCTACCCTGGGCCTCCCCAAATGGCAAAAAGAAAAAAAAAAGGTAACAAATACTTTATAATACCTCAAGTAAATGTTTAACCTTTTACCCAGTATGGGTATGTATACATTTTTTATTGCAAAGTTATGGCTTCTTTGACCTTACAGACAAAGAAGGATTTATGTGTTGGATTCTGATGATGATATTATCACATAGCATGTTTTTATCTGCTGCCATCAAAAAAATTCAGCATTATCTAAGAAGTTTGCAGTAGATGAACAAATTTTTAAATTCAGAGCATTTTCCCATACAAATCCTATGGTCTGGGAAGGGAGGCCCACATCCCCCCTATAAAAGCTAGAATGTGAGTTCACATAGCTCACCTACTATGGGACATTGCCAGGGCAGAATATGCTCAGATGCACAGAGGGGTAGAGTGTTCGGGGCCTCCCAAGCTGGCTTTTCTTTTTTTGAAGAGCATCTCACAGGGCGACCTTCTGCAGAACACGTTTTTGGAAACGTTACATTTGATGATCTCTAAGCCTGATTCCACGGCTTAAAACTTTGATAAATTCAGCTTGCAGTGTTTCCAGTTTTAGGTGACAGGTAGATGAAAATAAAAAGAATAGAGCCAAATGGAATTAGGGTTGTCAAGAAAAAAGCCAGTATGTCCCCCGAAGCAAGCACCAAGCTCGCTCTGGATTCCGGAGCGTCTACTCTCGTTATAATGAGAGCTGATTTCCATTCACATCTCTGACTTGCTAGGCCTGGAGCACATCTCACCCACTGTAGAACAGAAGGTTTCCCAAACTCCACCTTCTGGCTAGTGAAAGCTTGGGGGGAGAGTAAGCATGAATAGAAAAGAAGAATGCATCAGATGACAGCAGTGGTAAGGGTTAAAAACAAATTGAGATTTTTCTCTCCTCTACTCTTATCTCAAACAAGCAGAAGGAATTCTGCACAGATGAGACTGCGGGAGGGGAATGGGTATGTCAGTGGCCACCAAATCCCAAGGCTGCGATGATCTTCTTTAGAAGGCCACTAGAAGTAAAAGGCAGATATAACCAAGGTAATGTGGAAACTATTGTCCTCTATGTTCTATTTGCTTGATTATTCTAGATTTTTCAGTAATAGAGTTGACATGGGTAGATCAGAAAGATTTTGATGCAGGTCAGGCATGGTGGCTCACTCATGTAATCCTAAGCACTCTAGGAGGCCAAGGCGGGTGGATCGCCTGAGCTCAGGAGTTCAAGACCCTCTCTGTCTCTAAAAAAACCTATCCAGGCCTTG